ATTTGTATTGGAGAGAAAGAAGGAAGAATCGCAGGATATTGTAAATGCTGATATTCTGGGCCTATTGCTCCTGAAATGAATTGACAGGATGTTGAACTTTGAAGAAAGGTTTCATTTGCCCAATTATTCTTTCAATTAAAAAAAAAACACATTAAGAGTTAATTTATAATGCTTTTCTCTTTTCTGTGTCAGTAAAATAAAAGCTATGAAGGTCTCCACAAATCACAAGTTTTATAGGCTTGAGGGGAAAGCCTAGGAGTCAAGGTTTTTATTGCCTTGTTTCTAAGGGAATTCTGGCAGGGTCTTGAAAAAATATGAAATTGGGAATTCAACTGTATTATAGTCTAAGCTACCCTGATTGATGAATAGAAAAATGGATACTAAATCAATTCAATTGAATGATGAAGCCCTGAATCAAGTACCATATTTGAATTCTTCCCCAGCAAAGTTTTTTTGTGAAATTAATACTGTATCAGCTCAAATACTGCAGGAACTTAATTTTTTTTTACCCCCATAAAGAGTGGAAAGGACTTCAACCTGGTTGAATTCATGTTGAAACTGTATAATAGAAAAAGGCAGAGAAATTTAATGGAATGATGAAGCCCTGAATAAATTACCATACCTGAAATCTTCACCAATGAAGTTTATTTTGTAAAAGAAATACTTCAGCAGCTTAAATACTGCAGGAACTTTATTTTGGACCCCCATGCAGAGTGGAAATGACTTCAACCTGGTGGAATTTATGTCGAAACTACAGAATTAAAAAGCGGAGAAATTCAATTGAATGATGAAACCCTGAATCAAGTACCATACTTGAATTCTTCCTCAACAAAGTTTCTTTTGTTGAAGAAGTACTGTAGTAGCTTAAATACTGTGAAACTACAGAATTAAAAAGCGGAGAAATTCAATTGAATGATGAAACCCTGAATCAAGTACCATACTTGAATTCTTCCTCAACAAAGTTTCTTTTGTTGAAGAAGTACTGTAGTAGCTTAAATACTGCAGGAACTTCATTTTGGACCCCCATGAAGGGTGGAAATGACTTCAACCTGGTGGAAGTTGATTGAAACTGCAGAATAAAAAAGCAGAGGAATTAAATTGAATGATGAAGCCCTGAATCAAGTACAGTACCATAATTGAAATCTTCACCAATGAAGTTTATTTTGTAAAATAAATGCTGTAGGAACTTTATTTTGGACCCCCATGAAGAGTGGAACTGATTTCAACCTTGTGGAATTTATGTTGAAACTGCAGAATAAAAAAAGCAGAGAAATTTAATTGAATGATGAAGCCCTCAATCAATTACAATACAGTTCTGTAATCCTTCATCCTTGAATTTTTTAAAAACTTTAATAAGGACCTTCATGAAGAATACAGCAGCTTCAACCTAAAGAAATTCAAATAAATGTTTAAACTTCATTTTTAATTTTTTTTGCAGGACTTTTCCAAGGCTGATGCCCGTAACATGAGCGCTGGTGTCTTTGACATTATCTGTGGAAGTTCAGGAAGCGTGTTGCCAGGAACCAAACGAGGCCCGGACCAAATGCTAAGCTCGATGAGCCCCATGATGGACGCGACGACCGCCTACGCCAACCACTTGACGACGGCGTCGACGACGACGGCGACGATGGCCGCCGCCACGACGGAAAACAACAACGAGGCCAAGAAGATCAAGGTGGAAGGCGGGAATGCGAATAACGGACCCTCTCGCGTCGTCCACATCCGCAATATCCCCAATGAAGTGACGGAGGCTGAGGTGATCCACTTGGGAATGCCCTTTGGGAGGATCACGAACGTGTTGGTGCTCAAGGGCAAGAACCAGGCGTTTCTAGAGTTTGGGGACGAAACGAGTGCTGTCCAGATGGTGGCCTACTTTGGCACGTGTGCGGCCCAGTTGCGAGGAAGGACTGTGTATATTCAGTACTCGAACCACAAGGTGGCTGAGGATTATTATTTTTTTGCTGCTGTCTTTTTTTTTTTTTTGGTCTTGGACCTTCCGGGGATATTTATTCTATTTTTATTTTTTGTATAGGAAAAAAGAAATGCCGGATGGTTTGATGTTGGGTTCAGTTGAGCGTAGTTGGTTCGATGGGTCAATTAAGTTGGCTCTTGGTTTAGTCTAATGATGGGAATTGCTTCAGGGTTTTCATTCAGTATATACCAGTGTTCTCCAACCTTTTTGGGCCCGCAGATCAGCAAATATTCATAAAATTTTTTGCCAACCAAAACAGTATCTGCAGACTGGTTAAGTTTTGTTATATTTTTGTGGATTCAAAGAATGTTGTTTGGAAGACTTCATGGCATGTTTTAAAAAATTCTGCTTTTGTTTTTGCAAAAATTAAGTTAGTGGAATGTCTTCAAAAAATTAAAAAGGTTCTCTAAAGGTTTCACAAAACAAAAATGTACAATATTTTATTTTAGAAGGTCAAAAATTGTCTGGAGTGTTGAAACTTTATAAGGAAAAAGCCAAATTTTTTTTTNTTTTTCACTGGATAATTTCAACTGCCATTGTCTTTCAGAAAATTCAGGTAAAGATACAAGTAATACAACTTCCTTGCTGCTTATGATAAATTTATGATGCTGAAGAAAATTTCCCACGGATCACCACAGGTCCTTGGACCATGGGTTGGGAACACAGGTTTCAACTGCAGTAAATTCACATCACAACAAACTTTTGGAGAGTTGAGAAAAAGTTTGTTGTACTGAATAAATTATTATAACTGTATAGATTTACAAAATTAGTGACTGGAAAAGATTTTCATGGCAGACCTGTGTATAATCAATAAGATTTTCCTTTTCTGGCATTCTCAAGTTTTCTTTTATCATATTTCTAAAAACTGAGTTATCTTCTGAAGACAAATGAGCTTCAGTCATGCATTCTATCAATTGAACCAAATGTCTTCATTCTTGGATAATGTTGTGTGGAACCACTTGGAAGCATGTTTGTTGTCGATTACAGCTTCCATCCATGAAACAAGAACCATTCAGTCACATTTTGGATCAGAAATGTCACTGTGTCAGCCTTAGTCAGAAACTTTCTACCTGGAGGATCCATTAAACATCCATCAAAAAAGCTTGTTATATTCGACTTTGGAAGTTTATGATGCGATAGTTCCAAAACGTTCTGTGAGCAATAAACTTCCCAAGCATGCTTTTCCTTGAAAAAAATTGCCACTTCTGAAATTTAAAATTAAAGCCAAGTCCATTATGATCAAAGCTTCATACTCTATTGAATGATAAACTATCTGCACAAATAGACTAGCGTTTAAATTTTTGAGGGATTTTCAATTAGGTACCAGTTGGCTTTTCCTCATACAGTGTTATGCCAATGATGAACGATTTTTATGGTTATTGCACGCATATCCCAGGTAAAATTCTTTGTAATGAGATTTTAGAGGAAAATTATTTGATGTAGTTATGACATTTTTATTGTACTATATTGTCTCGAAAAAACTGCCAGACGGGACCCAAAAAAATCGTTATAACAGAGTTTCCTGTATACGGTATAGAGATATTTTACAGTGACTGAAAAAATTCGGTTCTCGGTATAGTAGATTACTACTTGGGGTGAACTTGGTCTGCGGTTGTCGAATAGTTGTTTTTGTTTTCTCCTCAGTGTTATTGGAATGCATTTGAAGTTTAATTTTCGTTTCTGCGCAGGAGCTGAAGACGGACCAAAACAGCTCCAACGCGGCGGCGCGGGCCATGAACCCGGGCGTCGGGGTGGCTGGTGGCGTCCCTGATACTCAAGGCGGCCCCAACACGGTGTTGCGCGTCGTCGTCGACCACATGTTGTATCCGGTCACGTTGGACGTGCTGCACCAGATCTTCTCCCGCGTCGGCCGCGTTCTCAAAATCATCACCTTCACCAAGAATAATACCTTCCAGGTGACGACTCGATAGAAAAAAAAACCTGTAAAGTATCACATAGTTCACTCGTATTCACGTGACTCCAGAATTTTCCGCTGTCATGATTTAAAATATTGTATTAATAATCGTGATTAAAAAGGGCTATACTTTTTGGTGAGATAGAATTTGCTGATAGCAGATGAATTGAGAATGTTTGGGCGAGGAAAATGCGTGATGAAAACCCATGGTTGGATTATCCTCAAAAATAGGCTTTCATCACAATTATGGGGCCGAAAGTGTGGACTAAAGATTTAAAACATTTTATGTGAGTGATTTATCCTCAAAAAGTCCTCGAAAAAGGATTTTCATCACGCGATTATTCGCCAGAAAGTGTGGATTGTAGATTTAATAATTTGCATCTCGGGGGTGAGGCTCAGGAAGTCTTGAAAAATGGGTTTCATAAGAAATACAGTCGAAAAAACATTTTTGGATTTTTAAAAATCTTCAATTTTTATTTTAATAAATTGGATCACGATTTCCCATAGATTTTTATGATAAAATGTGATTAGCGCGAAGAGTAAATTGTACAACAAACGTAGCACTTTTATTTTATTTGATGAAAGTGTTTATTTTTCAAATTACTGCATGATGTGCTTGGACCTTGTCACTATTTCAAAACGTCTGCGTAATGGATCGCTTTTCCCCCATTTACTTCCAAGTGAACATATTTAATGGTGTCTTCTTTTTTATCTAAAAGTTATGAAAAGTTCCTCAGAAAATTAAATGCAATTTTTTTTTCTCAACTTAAAGATAGAAAAAATACTGTGACTGCAAAAGAAAACCACACAGAATCTCATCTTTTGGCATCAAAAGGAGTACAACAAATAAAGAACAAGTACATTTCTTGTTTTACTTTTTGCAGATGATAGAAAACATTCTGAAAAAAGAAGCACAAAATCAGCTGGATTTATATAACGAATCGTAGTGAAATTACGATAAAATTGAAGTTTTTTTTATGTTTGTGAATGGGAAAAGCTCAATCTGTTCAAGAGATATGAAATTTTATATTATTCTTGAAATTTTGACAGTGTCCGCATCTCGAGACATTGTCTGGATCTCGGGGCAGATCATTTGAGTTTCAAGTGTCACAAAATGGAATCGTGTGTATTTTCGTTTTCTAAAAAGGGGGATTGTATTCATAAACGTAATTTATTTGTTTTCCACCGCATATTGAAATTGCAGGCCCTGATCCAGTACCCGGACGTGGTGACGTCGCAGTCCGCCAAACTCTCCCTCGACGGCCAAAACATCTACAACGCCTGCTGCACCTTGCGCATCGAGTACTCCAAACTCACGAACCTCAACGTCAGGTTCAACAACGACAAGAGCCGGGACTTTACGAACCCGGGTCTGCCGACTGGAGACGCGGGCCTGGATTCGGCCATGGGCGCCCTCAGTGGCGGTCTCGTGGGCCAGCCCGGGTTTGGTGGCCTAGGAATGGGTCTAGCTGGCCTGGGGCTCACGGGCAACTTGCCGTCGTCGTTTGGGCTGGGCCACGCGGGTGCGTTTGGGATGCCGGGCCATGGCCAGCCCATGCACGGCGGCAACGTGTTGTTGGTGTCGAATTTGAGCGAGGATCAGGCGTCGCCGGATGCCCTGTTTACTCTGTTTGGCGTCTATGGCGATGTGCAGCGCGTCAAGATTTTGTACAACAAGAAGGTGGAGCATCGATGATGATTATTATTATTGCGCGTGGACTCTCTATGACGAATTTTGTTGTACAGTGAATCCCCTTTTCGCATAGCTAAAGATTTACGCTACGAAAAATCCGCATGACGAACATTTTTTCACACGACGAGATTTTCATGGTCCGAAAAATGCGCAAATTTCAGCAAGTTTTGAGCTGTGACTGAAGAATTTTTAGAATTCAAGGAAAAAGCAGGAAAGAAAAGCATTGTTTTACATATTCTGAGCTTTAAAATTTGAGAAATTCAGAAAGTTATGAGCAAGAGTTGTCAGGATTATTTTAATTTCGCTCTAAACAACAGTAAATTCAAAATGTCCTGCTGAAGAATGCGAAAATTGTACGATTTGTCATGGACTTCAGGAGAATGCCTGGAACCAATTAAATAAATTACGATGTAATCGTGAAGGAAAACGTTCCAGGATCCACTGTATAACGATTTTTTTGGTTCTTCACATTTTATAAAAGTTTTGCACAACGCGATTCTCTCTACAGAACAAAGATTTTTTTGGGCCCCTGAATTTCGTTATTGAGAGAGTTCATTTTTATTGAGAATTTATTCTAAACCTCTGTACAATGTGTTGTGCTGAACTAGAATTTTTTTCTTGAAACACCAACAATTTCAAACTTAGTGTAAACTTCCTAAATCTGCGTTACTTCATCATATTTTCGTTTGGCATTTTTTTGTGATTCAAACCAGAAATTGGTGGGATTTCTTGGTCAAATAATGAATTTTCTCAATATTTTTCCACGATTTGGGTAATTCCCAGGATGCGTGAGATGAACATTTCTGTATTTGGCCACTGTTGATGTTCATGGTTAATCAAATGATAACATTAGAGTTTAAGTTGTACCTCCCTGAGTCAAATAAATCCTGATGCAAATTTTTTTTATCTCTGTCTGAATTCCCATGGAAACAATGCATTAAAAACCTCCCTAATTCAAAGGCTTTCCTCCTCAAGATTAGAATGTCCACAATTATAATTTTCTAGAGGCCTTTTAGCCATTATTTTATTAACATAAGAACTAAAAAAAGCAACGCGCATGTAACTTGATGTGTTTTGAAATAATGTGAGTGACTAATTGGGCAAATGAACTCATGCCTCTACCCTATCAACTCATCTGAGAAGCAATATAAAACCCAGAAATTTCACCAATTCAAATTTCGTGTAGCTTTTCTTTTGTTCCCCCCAGAAAAAAGTCTTGTTTCAAAAGCTTGAATTTTGTTGCTGGTCACTTGAAATTCAACTTGAAGAGGTTTGACTGTAATGAGAAAGCAAATTTGTAGACCTTTTTGTGATGATGAAGCTGGGTATAGAACAGTACAGGTGGTACCTTGCAATTTGATCACCCTGCTATTTGATGGTTGAATTTGCTGGGAGGTTGACTTGCAATCAAACATCTGCCTTGCAATGAGACCCACATGGAAGACACAAAACATTGAATATGCATTTGACGATGTCATGCAATTTTGTCTGCTTCACTATTTGACCCTATATAGTCAAGCAACAGATTGAAGTTGAATTGCGGGCCACCACTTGTATATAATTTCCTTAAAAAAAAAGCAATTGATGTTGAATTTTTTAATTTCATTTTTTGTCAGGATTCCGCGCTGATCCAGATGACGGACGCGCACCAGGCCCACCTGGCCATGACGCACCTGGACAAGGTGCAGGTCTGGGGCAAGCAGATCCGCGTCATGGCCTCCAAGCACCAGCAAGTGCAGATGCCCAAGGAGGGCCAGACGGACGCCGCCGAGCTGACCAAGGACTACGCCAATTCCCCGCTGCACCGATTCAAGCGTCCGGGCTCCAAGAACTACCAGAATATCCACGCTCCGTCGCACACGCTGCACTTGTCCAACATCCCGCCGTCGGCCGAGGAGGACGCCATCAAGGCGGCGTTCGAGACCGAGGGCTTCTCTGTGAGGAATTTCAAGTTCTTCCCCAACGACCATAGGATGGCGTTGATTGAGTTGGCGAGTGTGGACGAGGCGGTGATGGCGCTCATGAAATTGCACAATCATCAGTTGTCGGAGACGAACCATTTGCGAGTGTCCTTTTCCAAGTCGGTCATCAATCACTGAGAGTTTCTCCTGCTATAATGGTGGCGACGGAAAAGGACGCCTCTCTTCGTGTGTCTGTGTGTTTATGTTTGTGTTTGTTTGTTCGTCTCTCTTTAAATTTCTTTTGGTGGAGGGAGAAGAAGAGGAAGTAAGAAGAAGAAGGTGGTGTTTCAGATCTTTGTTGCCAGGTTTTCAAGTTCTCGCCGACGTTCCATCTGAAGAAAGTAGAATGATCAGTGATCCCCAATTTGGTTTGGGCCTGCGGATGATAAAGTTTCCATAATCATTTCTTTGCAGGCTGCCAAAATTGTGTGCAATTTTTACAGATTAGCAGACGCATTTTTTTTAATGCCTGGCATGAAGTTTTCCAAACTAAGTTTTGAATGATAAAATAAAGTGAAGAACCAATGAAGCAGTGGTGAAGAAATTCAAAAAATCGGAAACCTGTACTTCAAAAAATTTTTCTCAGAACGATGATTGCTGGAAATATTTAATTTCAAGTGTTCACTAGGTAATTTCAACTGTCATTGTCTTTCCGAACTTTCAGATAAAGATTCTAGATTTTTTTCATGGCAAATCTCGTTGAATTATCATTCGTTCTTTGGCACGAAACGCATTTGTCTTATAAAGAGTTGTCTCTAGTAAATCCAAGTTCATTTTTTGTTTGAGGGCTTCGCAATCTTTGATTGGCGAGAAATTATTGAGTTTAAAAAGCCTTGATGAAAAATGTTTTATGTAATGGTGCAGGAGTTGGAAACTTTTTTTTATCGCAGAGTAAGTATCAGTCTGATTCCAAAATATATTAGACTTCTTCGATCCTGGAAAAACTCAATAAAATAAAATGAATCTTATTTTCGCAGGCATTTGCAATAATATATCATGGAAAAATATAATAAACGTGAATTTTTGGAGGCATGCTTGATGAAAAGCAGTGGATAAAACTGAAAAACGCCGAAATGTATTGTTAAATTTTTGATATCATTTGTATGGAATTCCAGAAGCTAATCTTAGCTTATCACAAACCTGTAACTTGTTAAATTAAAATTTCCTCATCAACGTTAATGTGTTCGAAAAAAAGGCGCCTTCAATTTTCGCCTGTGGTGGAACGAGTGACAGAACTTTTTCAACTGGACCTCGAGATGGAGAAACTTGAGAAAATTGATTTTTTTCCCTCTTGGATCGTTTTTCATGGAAGAACAATTGAAAAGAGCAATTGGGGTTTCGCCGGGAAAGAAGGGAAAGAGAAGAAAACAAAAACTCAGGTTCCAATGTCGTTTTTTGTTGTCGGGAAACGAAAGAATCGTGAGTGAGATGCTGCTTTTTTTCTTTCTTGGTATTTGTAAGAAATCGTCCTCTTGTTTTTTGTTTGTGTGTTAGTGTGTGTAATTTTTATTTCCCCGAAAAAAAGAGCGAAAACAATTTGGGGTGGGAGGGATTTTATGTACAGGTGGGTTTGGCACAAAAGTGGTTTTTCTTTTTCGAGTATGTCTGTTCCCTTGCGATTGGGGGTAAAAAATGGACTCCCTTCGAAATTGTGCGTGTGTGAGGATTTTTAACGTTGCGTGTAAGATTGAAGGTTTTGTACATGGTTTTTTGTCAGGTGTATGAAATCGGGGTGAAGAAGATGAGAAAGAAAAAGAAAAGTCGCCCCTTTCCAACTCCTGTTTTTTTCCCCTCTGCTCGAGACGTTTTGGAAATAATTTTTTTTTTTATTGGGCGAAAAAAAGAGCAAAAAAAATTGCGAGAGGATTGGATTCTTGTGGCGCTCTTTGATGATTTCTGTGAGGTTCTGCCTCCATATTTTTGTTTTCATTCTTGTGTAATCTAAATCAGTGTTCCCCAACCATTTTGGGCCTATGGCAAATTGCTAATGTAGCAGGCATATAGAGGAATGATTTCCAAAAAAAATTAGAAAGGTGAGTTTGAAGAAAGGTTTTGCAGACTAAAGTCATTTATTTCAAGTGTGATTACTAGAGAAGCCAACTTATGTTTTCTTTAGATAATTTCAACCACCATTTGCCTTTCCAAGGTTTCAGATGAAGATAACAGAATTCATTGCTAATTTTCTCAATTCATTATGCTGCAGAAAATTTCCTGCAGACCTACAAAAAAAAAACTTGTTCTGAACAGTGCCAGTCCATGGACCATGGGTTGGGGAACACTGATCTATGCAATGTGGTTCCCAGAGAGAAGAAAGAAAAAACTGATTTATTTTCCTCTAGTGTGGAGGAATTGAATCCTGTCAAAATATTTATGCCAGGATTTCTTCAAAATCCAGTGCTTTCTGATTATTTTTTTGGGGCGTCCATTTTGTTAGAGTCCTTTTTATGAGGGGAATTAATTAATTGGAAGAACATCACAGAGTTGATGACGCCTCGATTTTTTTTGTCCATTCGTCTGTGTTGCATTTTTCCTTGTGAATATGAGTTCCTGTTCATCTATTCTATGCTATGCTCTGTGTAATCAACTTACTGTTTCTGTCTGTTTTCTTGGAAGGGAAGAGCGGTGAAATGAAAAAGGCCAATTGACGTGAGTGTGTATTTTTTTAGTGAATTTATTTTTGATGCCAGTGAAGAATTGGGGGAAATCTTGCATGTGATTTGTCATGGATTTTGACTTCAGTTGTATTTTTTTAGAAGGGATTTTGTAAGAATGGTAAATTTTTCCTGTGTATGCAACAGGTTATTTTTGGAAGAATTGCATAAAGTTGTATCCCTGTACAAGAAGATCTACAGCTTAATGTAACACACTTGCTGCAAACCTGACTGCACAAAGCAGGCCAATGTCAGGAATGTGATAAATTTTCATTTACTTGGGTGCTTCCCCAGACTGGTGAATGTAAAAATTTTTCAAGTTTGTAAGAAAGGACATGTTTTCCTGGAGGGATATTTAGATTTGATTTTGTGTCTCCAGTCTTGTGCTTTATTTTTCTTGCTTTTCACTTTTACAGCAGGTTTTGGGCAAGGAGAAGAGGAAGGGATGCTGCAGAGGGGACAGAGGCTTTCTGTGCAATTTTCCTTCAATAGGGGAAATTTCCCAAGCCATGAGAGGCTTAGGGAAATTCAAATTGCGGAAAATGCGCACTTGTGCATGTCAAAATCCTTGTTCATTTTTTGGCATGCAGGCACACCTCAGGAAGAGAGAAAAAAACAAAAGAATTTTGAGCAGATTTTGTCAGCTTCCCAGAGTTTGGACAGAATGAATTTTGAGCTTGTACCAGAAGGGGCAATTCAGAGACCCCAATTGCTGCTGTTGAAGAAATATAAAATGCCTGCTGGTTTCCTTGTTCAACTCTGTTACTCAAGTCATTCCATACTTCTAACACAAATATGGAACAACATGAAATCAAGGACTTCGAAGTCAAAAGACTTTTGTTTTCACTTTCTTGTCACCACAAGTTTGCCGGTATCCATCTTTGTCCAGCAGCAAAATGTATTCAAGCTGCTCTGAAGACAGATGGAGTTACTTGCCAGATTCCTGGAGTTTCTGTAGCATTTCAATGATTCCTTGAATTGCTCCTTTGTGCCTGACAGTTTGTCCAGCATATCCATCTTTGGCTGGTGTGGCAGGCAGGGCATACTCTACCCTCAATTTGGACTCTAGAGTCCATCCTGCCTAAACAAATCTTATGGTGGGAGGAACCCTTCAGACACTCCATCAAGCAGGGTGGGTGGACTGACTTCCCTTGATATTTTGTCTCTCATTGTGAAACCTGGTTCAGTTTATTAATAGTAAAAGTGTTTTCCATCAAATGAAGTATTTCTATTCACATTTGCAGTTGGCTTTCCAGGTTAATTTTGTTTTACACCATCATGTTTTCTGGTGATTTTTTCAGAGTTTCAGGAAAAGTTTTGTAGGTGGACTGACTTGCTTATTTCTTATTTCATTGTGAAACTCTTGGGAGACACCTCACAGACACTCCATCAGGCAGGGTGGGTACACTGATTTCCCTTTGCATATGTACTCTCATTGTAAAACTTTGCTCAGTTTATTCTTATTAGAAGTGTTTTCCATCAAATGAAGCATTTTACTTCTTAATTGCAGTTGGCTTCCAGAGTTAATTTTTTCTAATGATGCATTCTGGTGATACATGTATATCAATGAATTGAGAAACATAAACATTTCTTGCTGTGATGAAGAAGATATAATTGTTGACATGCTTCAAAAGTTTGTGAACATCTTGTAATTTGGTAAATTTCAGGATGCACTTTGTAACCAACTGATCTTACATCAAAAAGTATAAATGCATTTCTGCCTGAAGTGCTTTTTTTACATAAGCCATGCTAGTTGGGGGAGTTACTTTTTCCTAGCATTTCCAAGTTGTGTAGGGTTGTTGATTGCAGAAGAATGCCAAACTTGGGTGTTTTTAAATACATCAATGCCAAATGACATGGACTTTTTGAAATTCAAAACACCTGACTTGGACATTCCATTATTAATAATAATTACAGTGATAATACATTGGTACTAATTTCTTGTAATAATATTTACAGAACATGAACAGCAACCCCAACAGAATAAGCACTTGATTTGGACGGAACAGCATTCAAGCATGATGATCAAGAATGGTTCCAGAAGCAAGATGAATGGTTCCAGGAGCAAGATGATGCTGCAACTCCTGATTACAATGAATTTACAGAAGATAACAATGGCTGAAGCAAGAAATGGAAGATTTGCCAATTTTTCACCACAGTGTCTCAGTATATTCCAAACCAGATTGGTACTCATCTTCAATGATGATCTATATTTTGGTAATGTATATATGCACGTGCTTACAATTTTTTTCATTTTGCCTTCACTTCAGGTTTTCCTGTCTTTCTCAGATGCTACCAGTGTTTATTGTTGTTAATTTTCAACAAAAATCAAGATGAAATAAGAATGCAATATTCAAAAAAGTATTTGCATGTTTTTCAATTCAAAACAGTTGTACAACAGTATAACATTTCAGGAAAAAATAATAATGTTCACACAAGCAACCCCCCTCAATACTATACATTAACAACAGTTTTTGACACACTTTCAAAGGATTCCCTTGTCACAAATATGCTCCCATTCTCCAGTTTTGAATGCTGCAGGTTTTGATTGAAAGAATGGATACTCCTCATCCACAAAGTGCCCTTTGCAGTCCATGTGTTGTCCAAAGACTATGTCTTTGCATGTTTTTCAAAGCAATTCTGTAACTGTAGAAAGCATTTCCAGAAGCAAGATGAATGGTTCCAGGAGCAAGATGATGCTGCAACTCCTGATTACAATGAATTTACAGAAGATAACAATGGCTGAAGCAAGAAATGGAAGATTTGCCAATTTTTCACCACAGTGTGTCAGTATATTCCAAACCAGATTGGTACTCATCTTCAATGATGATCTATATTTTGGTAATGTATATATGCATGTGCTTACAATTTTTTTCATTTTGCCTTCACTTCAGGTTTTCCTGTCTTTCTCAGATGTTGGCAGTGTTCATTGTTTTTAATTTTCAACAAAAATCAAGATAAAATATGAATGCATGATTCAGAAAAGTATTTGCATGTTATTCAATTCAAGCTCAAAACAGTTGTACAACAGTAGAACATTTCAGGAAAAAATAATAATGTTCACATAAGCAACCCCCCTCAATACTATACATTAACAACAGTTTTTGACACACTTTCAAAGGATTCCCTTGTCACAAATATGCTCCCATTCTCCAGTTTTTAATGCTGCAGGTTTTGATTGAAAGAATGGATACTCCTCATCCACAAAGTGCCCTTTGCAGTCCATGTGTTGTCCAAAGACTATGTCTTTGCATGTTTTTCAAAGCAATTCTGTAACTGTAGAAAGCAATGATTTTATTACTGAAAACAGGAAGCTTTCCTTTTTGTACAGTACACACCCACTTCCTGAAGTGTTTGTTTGGAACATGTCCATTGACACTGAAGGTTTTCATCATCCTTCAGTACTGTACTTCATCTATGATTGCTTCGCAACCATTTTTGTCTACACCAGGTGTGGTATGTTTAACTTCATCACACAAAACAGCATTAAATAATTTGTGAATGAAACCACCTGTAACACAGCATAAAAGCAAACAACATACACATACCACATCCATAAAGTCAAAGTCCAGCACAGTCACACTTCTTGTTACAATAAAGTCTTGGGGACCTGATGGAAAATTTGTTACCAAGAAAATTTGTTGTACAGTATTGTGATTCTAGGTTTTGATTCTTTGTACTACAGCATTGCTTTACTTGAAAAATAATGAAAAAGAAGTGAATGTTACAAATAGAGGCAATACTTTAAACAAAAATTTTATTTCAAAGAAAGACAATTCTAGATTTGACCCAAAGATTTTCCATGAAATATGTGCTCTTCTGTATTTTGAAAAAATGTAAACCTCAGAAGGATTTCTTTTTCCAAGAAATTTGTACCTTCAATTTTTTATACTGTGTAAGTTTTCAGCCATTTATGAAATAATCTGTGCAATCATTTTAAAAATAGGACTGCATTTGAATAAAGGTTGATCACATAAAATTACTTTTTTCTGGCCATATTATAATTTTTATTTATTCATTCATTTCATACCCCTCAGCAATGATAACATTCTTTGTAAAATAAAACAATAAATTTCTGAATTAAATTCTTTCATGTGCTTCAACAAAACTGTGGGAATCACAGAAAACTACACAGGGATCTTCCACAAACTTTCCATAAAAAGTCAGCATGATTCTTGTCACCCGATTGTTCGGGTGCCCCGACAATCGGGTGACCAAACCGCAGTTTGGTGGGCTGGGGATTGACGGGGCCAAGAACTGCCCTGGCTGGCGGTTGGACCGACCGGCGCTTGATGACCAGCAGATGCGCGACCGTGAATTGACCGACCAGCGGCTGACCGGACACGCCCCTCAGCAATGATAACATTCTTTGTAAAATAAAACAATAAATTTCTGAATTAAATTCTTTCATGTGCTTCAACAAAACTGTGGGAATCACAGAAAACTACACAGGGATCTTCCACAAACTTTCCACATCTTTGGGTGTCATGAGTGCTTGAATTACAAACACTCATGACACCCAAGTTGATCAATCAACACAAAAATTTGTGAAAAAATGCTCAACTTGAGTTTTTTGAAGACAACAATGTCCAGATAGGCAAGGACACAAACATGAGTGTGAAAAATACCATTCACTGTTTTCAGATGCACAAACAACCTCTGTTCATCAGAAAAACTCAAGTCAGACATATTCTATTACTGGGAATGACTTTAAAAAAAATTTCACTATTGAAAAACAATTTTAAAAATTGACGACCTAGAAAAAATTGACTCATTAGAAATGCCAATGAACTATTGTAGTGTCTGCATCAAATTCTGATTATTCACTGCAGCGCAGCTGTCCAAGAAACTCAGTGAATGTCCACTGTGAGCACAGTTTCCTGAGGCTTCACAACAGAGCCAGGGTAGCCTTGAGCTCTTTCACACCCTGTGACAAGGCTGCATGACAATCCAAAAGAAACACCTTTGGGAATATGTCCAACCCTTGGCCGTGGTTCTTTTCCAATTTTTCTCTCATACTCTCCATGCCCTGTAATAAAAAAACCTTTGCAGACAACCATTCAAGTTGAGAAAGATCAGTGCCATGAACAAGTACTTGATTTTGAAATAAAATTATGAACAAAAAGCAAGAAAGGTAAGAAATGGGAAGTACAGTGAGACATCCAAATGCAGATGCCTTGACATTGGGATGATTCGACATGGGGACATTTATTTTTCAACAAAAAATCATAAAAAGGGCCCAACATGAGGACACTGACTCAACCTGGGGACATTGCAGGATAAAATTCTGAAATAAAATTTAGGAAAACTGATTTTTATAAGGCTTAATTGCAAGAAACAGATGTTTCCAACCTAAGATCAATGCAAGAAAAATTCTTTGGTACTTTTCCCATCATTTTCTAATCCATTCAGCTAATTTAAAGAATGCCTCCTAGGGGGAATTCCTTCTATAGCTCTCTTCGTGACATGGATGTTATTTCTCCAGATGCCAACTTTTCAATGTTCTGTACAGAGGTACACTATTCAATGTTCCAAATGTTCTTATTGGTTTGAAAATATATTCATTTCCTGAAATTCAAGTGGCTAAACTTTTTTTCATGACATTCTGAAGAATATTTCTTCCATAAAAACCAATTAAAATTTATATACTGTAAGTTTAAGGGAAAACAAGATTTGACTTGGGGACAATCCAACTTAGGGACACTCTTGATTCACCAATTATGTCTGCATCTGGGGGTCATACTGTATTACTGTCAACACTTTTGTTTCAGAAATATGGGAAACACTATAATTTTCATCCTTGAGCATATTGCACTGGGATCCAACATACAGACATCCCAAACTCAGGAAGATTTGACTTGAAGGTTAAAAACTTGAGAAATCTGCCCCAACATTCAGACAATGTTTCAAGACATGGACTCGTTCCCAATGTTTCTGAAAACATAGAAAAATTGGAAACCTTTTCATTTTATTTTGATATCTCCTGAACAAATGTGAGCTATTTTTATTCACACACAAAAATGAATTTTAATACAAATTCACTCCGAATTAAAATCAAGAACAGGATAATTTTGTGCTCCTCTTTGCAGTTTTTCCATCAGTTGTGCACAGCAGTCTTGCTCCTTGCTTCTTGAGCTCCTTTTGATGTCAAAAGATCAGATTCTGTGTATTTCTTCTGCAGTTATTTCCTGTTTTTTTAATATTGAGAAAAGAAACGTATTCAATTTTTTGGGGGACTTATTTCTGATTATTGATCAACAGAATAATCATTCAATACGGTTCTGATTAACTCTTTGGGAGAACAGGATCAGACATGCGAATGTTCCAACATAAGGACAAAATTGAAGTAATAATTATAGTAGATTAAAAAATTAATCTAAACAACCACGTTTTCAAAAAGCAAAAAATAACCTTAAACTGTCCTATAGTTACTGTTGCATACTGTGTGCAACAATACTGTATTCCATCCGCGAGGAATTGAGGGAGCGACACCTAGTTGCGCACCGATCTGCGTCGCGGATTTATAAATTTTAACAGCAGAAGATGATACGTTTCACTAGAATTCTTCTGTGCAAACTGCAAACCCATCAGCTCTGACGCTTTGGTCGAGTATATGACTTATATGGTTTAGAACTTTCAAGATCCACGTTTTTCATTATTGTAACAGCAGTTGCAAAAAAATGTGATCGAGGGCTCACGTCCAAAATTAACAAAGAATCTAACTCTGTACACTGAGCCAGACTGCTAGCAATATTTTGAAACCAGGAAGGAGTCCGTACGTGTAGTCCAAGTTATTACAGTACTGTACTGTACTTGCGTTTCCAAACACAAACGGAAAATGACACATCACAGAATTAAGTTCCATCCTATGCATCAAAGATTCAACTACAGCAAAGAAATGGACACCAGAAATAGAAACCATGCATTCAATGCTATACTTTGCAACCAGCTAGCAGAAACCTTACGAAACAAAATCCATGCGACATGTTGTCAATTGCCCAGCAAATTGTTGCATCGAATCAACAAAGGTTCTGGTGTTCAATAAAGCTTGACAAATTGAAGAAAACGCACGCAGATTTTAAAAGTTACCTTCAAACACTCCTGGCTGCGAGGTGACACTGCGATCTGGTCTGGTGATGACTTTGGACAGACGCGGAAGTGTTTCCAATAATGAGATCAGTGTGTGTTCCTTCCAACTAAAATCACCGAAGCAGCTTGCACAGAACGCCGGCAATGACCCCACGGTTGCCAAATCCGAAGTCAAGCGTGCACAAACGAACACCAAAAATTCCTTTGATGGTAATATGCCCTTATTGAGAGGCTTTGAGATGCATCAAACAGCACGAGATGAACGCACTATACTGTTAGCTACCCATCAGAAAGAGATCGAACAATACAAAGAGGCACTCTTGTACAGAAAAATCCCAGACACTCCATTTGCCTCCTCCTGAAAGTTTCACCTGACAAACACCAAGGAAAGTTTCATCGTTGAGCAAAATTTGAAAATGTGTGACAAAAGAAAATTCAATACTCACAATCTCAGTAGAAACTCCAGGGGTGTAATAATCATGGAAATGGTCAAATGACAGGGACACGCAAGATGTTTTCTCCGACATGCAGACTGATGAGAATGTTTTGCTTGGATCCACAGTTGTGTTTGTTGTACAGTATTATAATCAGCAGTATTGCATCCCTTTCAATGAATAATTATAGTAGATTAAAAAATTAATCTAAAAAACCACGTTTTCAAAAAGCTAAAAATAACCTTAATTGTGGTGTGCATCTATTTCATTTGTATTTCACTTCTTCCCAACAATCTCCATGCGCACCACTTTTAAGGTTATTTTTTGCTTTTTGAAAACTTGGTTTTTTAGATTAATTTTTTAATCTACTATAATTATTTTATTCTTTAAAAAAAATATTCTTATAATTTTTCTTTTCACAAAAGATTGCATTGTCATCAGTTTCTAAGCTATCCTGAAAGTTTCAGCTTGCTAGCTAGTCAGGATGTGAGCAAAATTTGAGGTGCAAAATTTGATCCGGACAAACAAACTGACAAGAAAGTGAGTTCATAAAAACGTGTTAAAAATGAAGAGAATTACCAAAATGTCTCTGGTATGGATGTAAATCCCTACATATGTGTCATGGGTCCATTGGATCCCAGACAAAGGAATTGAATTGTGCAGCCATCAGAATGCAAGTTGTGAATAAGAAGTCAAACTCTTTTCAGAGGAGTTCATTCGCATTGCCCAGTTCATCAATTGGCTGTTTAATTCAATGTTTTAATGGCAGAGTCAACAGTTAGCTCAGAATAGTAAATGAGGCAATTAAAGTTAAAAGGCCCTTTAACACTAGGTTCAGACTTCTCCTCTCAAAGAGGAATGAGGGTTCTTATACCCATAAACCAGGTGCTTTGACTGGGTCAGGAAGAAATCAGGTGATTTCTTCCTGGCTCAGGATTGGCTAATGAAGGAAAATCCAAGAAGTGATGACCACTTCTTGTCCTTGAGTGAGGCTCAGTGAGTCTCACAAAAACTGGATTTTTGTGAGGCTCACTGGCCTTGGAAATCCAGCAAGTTTTTGGGTCTGGTTCCAAGCGGATGCTGGAGCAACCTTGCCTTGGTCTGCAACAGTATGTACAGAAAAACTGTCACATGGCACAACAGAAAAGGAAAAAATTCATTTTCATTTTGGAGAACTATTTCATATGCTGTGGTTTATTTACATGCTGTGGTTTATTCATATGCTGTGGTTTATTTCAAAGATTGATTGATTGGCCAACAGGCCAATTTATCAGGTGAACTTCTCAGATTCACATAAGAAAAATGCAACACATGGTTACACACCTTTTTTGAAGGAATGATCCAAACCCCAAACAAGTGCAGAACCCGTGGATTTACTCCTTCTGAACCAATGCAATATAGCAATATAGCCAGTTTTCAGAGTTTCAACAAGGGTGGATTTTCCTACTCCACACCACCCAAGAAGCTTCATTTTCAGTACCCGCAATGGGTTTTGGAAATCTTCTTGTGAGTCGCCAATGAACACATCCAATTGGTGTTTCTGAAACCAAGAAATTTTGCTTTTTTCAGTCAATTCTTTTTACACTCAAATCCATGAGAAGGACCATATGAACTCACCTTATGTAGTTTCCCCAGCAGTTTGAATTTTCATCAGCCAACATTCAACTCGATAGTTATATAATAGTTCCCAATTTTACAGTTTGAATGCCATTGCTGATAGGTGGAATGGGAATTATTTTGAAAGGTACAAAGTTAAATCTTCAGGAGTAGTGCCTTTCTCCATGATAAATTTTTGCAACTAAATTCCTCCCAAAAATCCTGGTGCACACATTATTGAAGGACATATTGTACCAACTTCAAAACACTAATCCTGTTTGGATTTTGTCCAATTTCATGCTTCAAAAATTTCATTGGCATTCTTATAGATTACATTTAAAATTTTTTGGTGTGATATGATCAAGTGTTTCCATGCTAGGAATGACTTGGTGGCAAAAACTTGGTCAGACCATAATTCTAACTGGCTTGAAATAATCATTGCCAATGCAATACATTTTGAATCAAACTGGTTATCTTATTAGCATTTTTTACAGTCATATAAAATCATAAAAATAATCTGATGATTACCTGATGAAGAAAGTTCTGATCCACTCTCACTCAGAATACTTGTGAATTATGTTTTTCTTCTTAATTTCATTCACCATCAGTGTCAATAAATTAATGAGGGAGAGGTGTAGAAATAAAGAAGAAATGAAGCAATAAGTTGTACAATTATCTGCAAAATTATATTTTACTTTACTTGCAATATCAAAAGAAGTTCAAGTCATTTTGTTTGGAACAAGAGAAAGAAAATCTCATGCATATTTCAACTAAAAATATGAACATGGCCATTTTTTCAAATTGTAGAATTTTGTCACAACAAATCTTGTTTAAGAGAAATTTCCTATAACATAATGAAAGTTGTTTTCCAGATCCCCTGCCCAATAGCCACAATCTGATATAAGTTGCTCTATAACAATTTGTAGTTACAACAATGGTATTTTTACTTGTCTCAAGAATGGCTTTTTAATTGTAACAATTTTACTGGTATTGAATGTCAAACATGATTATACACAGCTTGAGTTCACTGAATACTAACTTCTGCTCATTATTTCATCACCAAAAATAAAGCAAGCATACAAAACTTATTCTGGGCAACTATGACACTGAACAAAAAAAATTCCAGCCCTTTTGAACCCAACTTAAAACAAAAAATCCTCTTTTTGGAGAAAGTGAAATGGTTATCAGAATATGGCATCTGAATATAGAAGAGAATTCAAACTTCAAATTGAAAACAAAGCAATCAGTTCATGTTGACTGAAAAGATATGATGGTGAAATAACAAAATAAAACTAACGTATCGTACATTTCCGATTTTTCTATAACAAACTTTGAGTCTCCCAACATTTAATGAATGCAAAATACTGTACAGAAAAATTATTTTACAAAAATTTTCATACATCAAAAAAAGAAGTGGGTAAAAAAAATTATAGCTCATTGAATTATGCAAGAAAGTAGAATTTGTTAGATTTTGCAATTGAGAGACTAAGCAGTATCCTCCATTGTTCCATGTATTGACAGTGCATGAAGTGCACAGTCATTATCAAAAGAAGCACAGTTAAAAGTGCACATTGTTAAAATAAGCACAATTATTAGAGAAACAAAAAAATAAAGTTCTAGTTTGTTTCTTACAAATTTTATAATATGCTGGATTTTTTAAACAAAAAACGAGAAAATTCAGAAAAATATCTTTGCCTCTAATCCTTTTTCAAAATTTGAAGTTTGGTGAAGGAAAGTTTGAAGTGTGAAGGAATGTTTAGATTTGAAAGAAAAAATAATTTGGTAAGCATGTATTTAGAAAAGGTTTTACATGCTTTCACCTTTGTTAATCTGAATTATTTTTAGGGTTTAAAAAATGCGAAATCTAGAGAACTTCATGGTGCTTCTAATGCAGTTGAAATTTGTATTCAAGTGCAAAATTACTTTTTTGGAAAATTTTAAAAGATGAAAAATTGAGAAGAAAAATGGAACCAAGAAATCAAACTTTTTAATTTAGCTCATTCTAATTAATTTTCTTTTGATGAAAGTTAAAAAATATTTACAGGGTCATGCACACTGATGTTTTACAAGTTTACTCTTGTTTCATTGAAAAATGTTGCAAATTGAAACAGCTAAAATTCAGAAAGTAAAAAAAAAATTTTGATGATTTTCAAATTTGTTTCTACATTTTTGGTTCTAATTCTGTCAAATGTTCAGATATTGACATTTAAAAAACATGGGATTCAAGAAACATCTTTGCGCATGCAATGCTGTAAGAAATTTGAAAGATGATTGAAAATTCAATTTTTCAGAATTTTTTAAAGTCAGCCAAACGGACCATGGTTCATAAACCAGTTTACAGTCCGTTAACCATGATGACCACTCATCTCCCCAAAACGGATCCGGTTCGTCAACTGAAAATCCAATATCCGGTCAGTTTGTAAACATGGGTTTGACTGTACTGTACTATTTTTCTGCTGTTGAAGAAATAAAAAAGGCCTGCTGTTTTCCTTGTTCAAGCTGTTACTCAAGCAAAGTAAATTCAAGGTCCAGCATCCAAAAGAGATTTAAGCTGTTCTGAAGACAGACCCAGTATCTCGCCCCATTCACAGGGTTTAATTGATGCTTTTTGCCAGACAGTTTGCTGGTACTTATCTTTGTCCAGCAAAATTGATTTAATCTCTTCATTAGTCAGTTCGACTTCTGTGCCCCATTCCCCGAGTTTCTTTAGCATTTAATGCCAATGCTTCCTTTACTCGCTGCTTTGTGCCAGACAGTTTGCTGGCAATTATCTTTGTGCAGCAAAATTAATTTAATCTTGTCATTAGTCAGTTTGACTTCCTTGCCCCATTCCCGGAGTTTCTTTAGCATTTCAATGCTTCCTTCACTTGCTAATTTGTGCCAGACAGTTTGTTTCGTGTTATTATCTTTGCGCAGCAAATTTTCCCGTAGCTGATCTTCATTCGAGTTGCACTGATCCCAGTTGAATTTTTTGGAATATTTTGCAAGTAATTCAGTGCTTTTCTCTTCAAGAGATGGCGATGCCGAATTATTTGGTTTAAGGTTTTCTTGGGAAGGTGTTCTTGATTCCCCAGTAGGAACTGGGCTTTCACCATCAGCAGGTGAACTTGGTAACACGGGTTCAAAATGGCTTTTCCCTTCATTGATGATGATATGAATGACATTTGGTTCATTGTAAAGGGCATAAACCTGTTCCTTGTCGATAGATTTTGAGCAATTGCTTTCAATAAGCTCATGAACAAATTCCGATTGATTGTCAACCTCGTGTTTTTCAATCACGTGAAGTTTGACTCCATATTCCCCGCATAAAATTCGTCCTTCGATTTCTGGACGACCCCAAATAGTTGGCCCCAACAAAGGGTTAGTCATTATTTCCGCTTGGTTAATTAAATCCCAGTCACCCAAGAGCAAGAGAAGCCTCAGGGACAAACTGTCATTATCCCTTGCAGCATAATCAATTAACCTCCAAGTGTCAAATTCTTTGCTGGTATTTAGCTGTATGGTGAGTAAATCGCCGTTGAATTGACCAGCATCCTGAAGCCTTGATTTCAAAGTCCCAAGTAATAATGATAAATCAAAGCTTCCCTTTGAAGAGAGCTCTTGGATCAAGTCTTCCTCATTTTCAATTTCTCTCAAATTGAGGGTCTCAAAGGATTGACTTTCAGGTGTTTTGAAAGAAATGACTCGCTCAGTAAGTTCACCTTTGACAATCCATTGCCATTGGATAATCATTGGCCTGAAACCCTAAAAAAGATGTTTTTTAACGTCTTTCAGACCTTATTCTAATAAAAACAGTAGTCGGTGTTTAAGGTGTTATCATTACTTGGTCACACACCGAAGAACTGTCCAAACTGTTTTTATTAGAATCTGCATAAATTTCAAAACTTGGCCCAATGCTTCATCCGTGGATATTTTCAGGATTTTAAAGTCAGCATTTGCCTTTGCTTCGTCGATAGTTTCTGACCAATCCTCTGCCAATTTCGGCCGCTGATTCGAGTTGAATTGTTTGGAATATTTTGCAAGGAATTGATTGTTTTCCTCATCAACAGATGGCGCTGCCTGAATAATGCGTTCAGGGTTTTCTTGGGAAGGTGTTTTTGATTCCCCAGAATAAGGTAAAGTTAAAACAGAAGTTTCGCCATCAACAGGTAAAACGGGTTCAAAATGGTTTCTCCCTTCATAATTGATGATATGAATGACATTTGGTTCATCGTAAAGGTCATTAACCGTTTCCTCGTTGATAGATTTTGAGCAATTGCTTGCAATAAGCTCATGAACAAATACCGATTGATTGTCAACCTCGTGTTTTTCAATCACGTGAAGTTTGACCCCATATTCCCCGCATAAAATTCGTCCTTCGATTTCTGGACGACCCCAAATAGTTGGCCCCAACAAAGGGTTAGTCATTATTTCCGCTTATTGTCAACCTCGTGTTTTTCAATCACGTGAAGTTTGACTCCATATTCCCCGCATAAAATTCGTCCTTCGATTTCTGGACGACCCCAAATAGTTGGCCCCAACAAAGGGTTAGTCATTATTTCCGCTCCTGTCAATCTGACACGCAATAAGTAATTGACAAAGTGGGATTGTTCACTTCCGGGTTCATTTGTAGAAATATAACCTCCACGTTTTGCGTCTTTTGCAATGATTTCTTGCCACGTTTTCTTCGTTTTCTCATCAACAGTGTCTCGGTGATGATGAGAGATAAAATTGAAACAATCTTGTCTCAATTTCCTCACGGCTGATTCTCCTCCATCTTTAAATTCATCTTTAAATTCAAATGCTTTTGAGTTGTTGGAATGTTGCTTAATTATGCCTTGTGCAAAGGCATCAAAAAAGCAATCTCCAGCACCCAGTGATTTTCCTTTGTCAAACCCCGTGGGAAATGGTTTGTTGTTTTGCTCAGTTTTCAAAGGAGAATCGGCATCTTTGTTTTTTTGAACCGGATCACGTTCTAATGCGTCAATTATTTCCGGTTTCTCAAGACGCTCTGCTAATTGTAAAGGCGTGTCACCCTTTTCATTTTGGCACGCAATATTTGCCCCTTTAGTTAGCAAAAACTCAATGACTGCTGAGGGATGATTTTTTTCTACAGCCAAATGCAAAGCCGTATTCTTTTTACGATTCCGATCTTGAAAATTGATATTTGCTCCTTGTTTTAGAGCCTTGTCAATTTTTTCTATGACCTTTTCTCCGGTAATCGCTCTAATTAATTCCTCGTCTCTTTTCAACTGCTCCTCGTCACTACTCATCTCACTATCTGAGGAACAGGAACGACGTGTTTGAATAGTGGCATCTGGAGAAATAATCATTTCATCCATGTTGGTTGTTTTATCTATTGGGGGTTTTAAGACAAAGAGTTCATCTGCCTCTAATAACCCCTTAACTCCAGGAACTTCTGCTTTTGCAGCCCCTTTTTTCGAAGTTTCAATCACCGCTTCTTCCCACTTGGGAGTATCTTCGGAAATGGCTTATTTGCAAGGGCCTGGTGCAGAAATGGATTGGTCCGAATGATGCGGGATGGACCAGCAGAAAGCAGGGCCCTGATGGTCACACAAATGGATCCTCGTCGACTGGATCCTTCTGCAGCACAGGACTTGTCCAAGAATTTGATGGAAGTGGAAACGGACCTTTGCTACGGTTGGTCGTGGGCTTATACAACTTGCCAGCCACGAGGTGAAATACGGACGACTGCGACTGATGCTGATGATTCGAAAAAATACCGAATTAAACAATATAATCTGATTGATATTCACAGCAAAAATTTTTTTTAAGTTTTCAAAGCTGTACCAATGCAGGATAGCAGGAATGCAGAGTCTGCATGTACGTATGTGTATAGCCCTGAAGTAAAATGCACAGTTATTATTATGAATGATTCATCCCATAGTTGGGAATATGTGAGCATCCAGTCAAATTTGCTTTCCAAAAGAAAAAGTAAGGAGAAAATAGAAGTAATTCAGATGGTGTCAATCAATAAAAAGACAGTAAATATTTGCCTACTTAAAAAAAAAACAATTTCAACATCAAATTTTAACATTTGTGGTTTTTGCACCACAACATCTTCATGAGATTACAGTGAGACCACCAGATGCAGACATAATTGGTGCATTAAGAGTGTTCCTATGTTGAATTATCCCCAATAAGTCAATTCTTGTCTTCCCGTAGACTTAAATTATATAATTTTTAATTGGTGTTTAATGGAAAAAATATTCTTTGGAATTCCATGAAAAAAATGGTGTGCCACTTGAACTTGAATCAGTGAATATCTTTTGAACTCAATAAGAACATGTGGAACATTGATTAGTGTACCTCTGTACAAAACATTGAAAATTTTGGCATTTGCAAAAAATAAAATTGAAGTCACAAGGAGAGAAGGAAGTCCCTTCTTGCTGTCGGTAATTTTACTAAATTAGCTGAATGGATGGGAAATAACTTTATAATAAAAGTATATCCTTATGTGAAACACCATCAAGGAAAATTAAAACAACATACTTCATACTTCTCTTGATCTTATTCAGGCACCTCGACATCAAAATGTTTACAAAGATAAAATCATCTGAAATACTTCTGAAATGAATTGAAAGAAACTTTTGCAAGGCAAGTGGAATTCAGATATGAGGAAAAAAGAAAATTCAAGTAGTAGTCTCAGCATTTGTATCATCCCATAATAAATGCTTCTCTTGGGAAAATCTAAAAATCCCACAGAATTGTAAAGATTCATTTTTGCAGACCCTGAAATATTTTCTCAAAGAGAATTGTCGATTGCCATTTTCAGCACGCGGAGTAAAAACAGAAAAGAAATACTTGAAATTTACTCACCAACAACAAAGGCAGGGAGTCGGGCCCTAAGTAGCGTCCGTCTGCGACACAATCGTCCTTTTCGTGGATAAAGACGGATGTCTAAATCCTCTCAAGGACGCCCTTTTTGGCTTCCAGACTACTTTTCAATCAAGTAGAGTGAGTATTTGCGATTTTGAAATGTCCTCCAGTTGCCAGAACCAACCGATCACTCCTTCAAATAAAAAGTAATAATTTACTCATTCTGTACCTCCAAACCTCTCCTGGAAATGATTAGCATGAATTCAAGAATCAGAAGCTGTGATTCTTACCCAAACGAGTGAAGGGGAGAAAATCTCAATTACTGTACCTTATTCTAATAATTTACTCATTCTGTACTTCCTTACGACTCCTGGAAATGATTAACATGAATTCAAGAATCAGAAGCTGTGATTCTTACCCAAACGATTGAAGGGGAGAAAATCTCAATTACTGCACCTTATTCTGCAATTTTGAGAAGAAAATTCCGGAAAATGTACTTGGACGTGAGTTTGCGTCACCGATTTGTTCTCTGCACTCAACGACACAAGCGAAAATAGAATGTATTCTTCCCTCAACTGTGAAAGTTCAAATTTTTCACAATTTTTCCTGAAAAAAAAGAAGGAACAATAAAGTAGAAGGAATGAGGAATTGGAAAGTTCTTGCAGTCTACTGCTGCTAACAAAAAAAAAACACTGATGGGATGTTATTCCATCAAACGAACTAACCAAGGTTCTCAAGTGACACTTCAAATTCTGACAATCATTCAATGCTCTCCTTTTCCTTTGTTGCTTCCAAAATAGTTCTGTACCTTTCCTTGCAATTTAAATTTGCATTGATGCACATCAAACATTTTTTCTATTCCTGCCTCTTTTAAAAATAGTGATGAGTACTGAACTTAAGTCATACATTCTGTGGCTGACAGGAATTCCATTAAAGCCCAACAATCTTATATGAGGGTTTAAAAACCTTGGCTGTTGTCCTCATGTGATTGGAAAATACAAGTGAAAGACTTGACTTGACAGGATTTTTTAATAATTTACTCATTCTGTACCTCCAAACCTCTCCTGGAAATGATCGGCATAAATTCAAGAATCAGAAGCTGTGATTCTTACCCAAACGAGTGAAGGGGAGAAAATCTCAATTACTGTACCTTATTCCGCAATTTTGAGAAGAAAATTCCGGAAAATGTACTTGGACGTGAGTTTGCGTCACTGATTTGTTTCCCGCACTCAACGACACAAGCGAGAATAGAATGTATTTTTCCGTCAACTGTGAAAGTTCAAATTTTTCACAATTTTTCCTGAAAAAAAAGAAGGAACAATAAAGTAGAAGGAATGAGGAATTGGAAAGTTCTTGCAGTCTACTGCTGCTAACAAAAAAAAAAAACACTGATGGGATGTTATTCCATCAAACGAACTAACCAAGGTTCTCAAGTGACACTTCAAATTCTGACAATCATTCAAAGCTCTCCTTTTCCTTTTTTGCTTCCAAAATAGTTCTGTACCTTTCCTTGCAATTTAAATTTGCATTGATGCACATCAAACATTTTTTCTATTCCTGCCTCTTTTAAAAATAGTGATGAGTACTGAACTTAAGTCATACATTCTGTGGCTGACAGGAATTCCATTAAAGCCCAACAATCTTATATGAGGGTTTAAAAACCTTGGCTGTTGTCCTCATGTGATTGGAAAATACAAGTGAAAGACTTGACTTGACAGGATTTTTCGTTACTTCATTATTGCACATATCTCTTACCTTTTCATAAAACTCCTTGCTATTTTAATGTCTTAAATATACAGAAGAATTCATGCCCATGCACAAGTTTGTCTTTCAATGCACTTCAAAAAATAAGTTTACAGCTTGAAAAAAATTGAAGCAATAGAAAAAGAGAGTTCATGAACAAAATTTTTGAGTACAATGGATCATTGCCAAATACACCATTACAACATTTTTCAGAAAAATTTTCATAATGAAAATCAATCTTTTGTTTTAATACAGTTGAACCTTGATAATAACTTGACAATGACAAATACCTCCCTGATTTGAATTTTTGAAAGCCCCTGATGTGTCTCAATTTCTTCAAGGACAATGCATTCAGAACTCCCTAACTTTAAGCTTTTCAGCATTCTCTCGGATATTATTTTTTTGGCACTATAAAGAGAAAAGTTAAAAGGGATGTGATGTGTTTTGAAACCATAATTCTCAATGGGATAAATGAACTGCCTCAGTCTCAAAGTTCAGCATCTTTTCAACTCATTTGAGAAGCAATGTAAGACCTAGATTCCTAAAATGTCACCAATTAAAATTTTGGGCACTTCTTTGATGCTCCCAACCACATTGATATGCTTGTTTCTGTATCTTAAACCTTCATCACTTGAAATCTCCCAAAGTGGAAACCTCCGTATGTTGAATTTTCTTCCTGCTACCTTGAAATTTGACATAGGAAGATTCAACTGTAGGAAGAAAACTTTCTCTGACCCTAAATAGACTCTTACACTCTTTGCTTTTCCACCAATAAGAAGGGACACTGACATTTTGGATGATGCAATAAACTGAAAACCATGTATCCATTGGAGACAAATCACTTC